TAAAACTATATAATATTTTAATATTTTTTAAATTACTGAAACCAATCATGCGTAAAATTTACAATCGTTAATATATCTATAATCGTTATCTACAATCGTTATTATATCTATATGCAAATTATAAAGTTTTTCACAGAGCGAGCAAAAGAAAGAGAGAGAAAGAGATCTCATCGAGATACCTTCATTATAAGCATTTTACATTAGCACTTCACAATGCTTGACATTTTATTTTCAGTGAGAGTTTTTCCAGTCCGACAGCCTTTTTGATGCATACCATATTAAAGTTTGGGTAAGTCTGTGTAAGAGACGTGATAGAGATTCTGCTTATCGCTCAATATAGCTTTGGGTTATTTATTAAAGGAAGCTGATCACATCATACATTCATGTATGTTCATACTTTTTGTGTTTGTGCTTTTGTATCTGTGATTATTGTATATATAGCGAATTAATATAAAATTGCAAAGTGAGCGAGAAAATTTAAAATAAAAAAAAAGAGAATTAAGAAGCTGTTATGCTTAAATATATATTTTACTAAATAAATATATAAATATAATGTTCATTAAACACACAAATAAATATAACTAATATAAATAATAAAAATAATACAATAAATGTTTAAAATAACAACTAATCGGGAGATATATTGTTATAATATGAGAAAATAACAGCAATAAAGCACTGATGTTACTAATTGTTTTTACTTTGCACGAAACATAACAATATAATGATCAAAGAGAAAGGAATTTTTCCCAATATATAGGAATCTTTAATGTATGTAAGAATATTTCACTCCTAATATTTATTCAATATTCAATTATGAGCATATATATCTATTTTTTTTTTTTTTTTCAGAAAAAGGCAAGCAAAGATGCAAAAAGAGTTGGAGGATGCAGCTCGTGACACACGACCAATTAGTCCTGATAGATCGAGCTTAAAAGAAGGAATTTCTGGTCTTCCTACAGCAGTACCAACGAAAGTATCCGTCACGTTTGTACGTTGACAAAACTTTAATTTATGAAATTACTTTAATTATGAAATTACTTTACATTACGCTATTACTATACTATGGAAATTCTAGTACAAATGTTTATTAATTCGTTGTAATACGAAAATGCATGTTTTGTATGACGAAATAAGAAACTTAGATGCGAATTCAACGCTTAATGATTGAAAAATTTGTATTACGAAATTATTACAAATATTCTATTTTCTTCTTATTTCTGCATTAATATTAATAATCATGCTGTGATGTTAAACGATTTTGGACTACTAAAAAGGAATTAGAGTAATATATCAAAAGTGATTTGAGCACGTGATATTTATACATTGACTATTTAAAGTATTTAAAAAAATATATATTTTTATAGAAAAAGAGAAATTATTTATGCTATGGATATATATTATTTATTTTTTGCAATCTTATATAGATTCTATAAAGATTTGAAAAATTTAGAGATGTTGTTTAATCTTCTTTTAAAAAAGAAATTGAATTAATATGAATTATATAGTTTTTAACTAGAATGTCAACGTACATATGCAACATTCGTTTTCGTTTAATGAATTCATATATCTTATACAGATATAAATTTATCTACATATTATGTACTTACAAGTCAACGAAAAATAAATACACTATTTTTACTACTTTTTATAAGTAGATCAACTGTTAAAAAGTCTAATTTTTTCAAGGATAGGTAGAGAAGATATATCTATTTACATGAATTTTTTACAAATAGTTATTCTGACGTTGTTAGTAAGTTTTCTTTATACAGTTGCACAGAAAGGATGTCAATCGTTATATTTAATCAAGTTTTAGGTATCAGGATAATCTCGTTTGGTTTAAGTTAATTCCTTGTGTTTAGAATAATAAGATATTTAATGAGAATATATGTATTGTTGGATATACACACACACATATATATATATTACTACTGTTTATAGATATTGTACTTCTCACTTATGCATGTTATGTTAATAGAATATTTATCTACGTGTTATTATACGATTATGTATTTTAGCGGTGTTTACAGTCACATAAAATCTATTT